AGGATTTTCATTTAAACAGCTAAAACATCATAATAAAAACCAGTAGATTACTAGGGTTGCACAAACTTGTGAGAATTAGGAAACCTTAGCTTTATGGTTGCAAAATAAAACTCATCTTTACTGTGTCTACACAGCATGATATAGTCTTAACTACGCATATACCTCTGCCTTTCCCATGGTATTTCTGTTTCAGTTAGCTTACTGAATCAGAGAAAAAATGGGCAGGAGGCCATCTTTTAAACCCAGCATTTTCTAACTTTCAACAACTTGACTCCAGAATTACATTACTTTTCTTCTAACATGATTTAAGACTAGGTGCTTATTTGCTACTTTAGCATATTGAAAAATTCTTCAGGAAGCACAGAAGCAAAAACAAATCAGAATTCTATCATTTTGACTTTGTCAAGTGTTCAATGCAATATAGGATTTGATATAGTCTTTCCTTATCACCAGAAAACAGTGACATGCTTTACATAAAATATATAGTACATGCCATATATCACACCATAAGAGCACAATGATAAAGCCTGAAGATGGAAAAAAAATATCCATCCTTTTTACAGAATGCATTTCTGGTTTAAATAAAAATTTCATCTTGAACACCATCTTTAGCACATTCCCCAAATAGCACACACAAAGGGCTATCTAAATACTCATGTTCACCCAAAGACCTTTACTTGTGTCTCAAAAATGCATTACACAAGTGTTTTAATTTTTATGGGTTTTTTTTTTTTTTTTTTTTTAACCATGCCTTCTGTTTTACATGCTTAGTAGACTGATGTGTTGTTGGATAATTTCAGATATCTAGCAGATGTTAAAACAAAGCTGCTTCAAATCTTACAGGAATACTAGGAATTATATTGCGAAAATCATATCAAGCAGCTGAGATAAAAAGTGTAGAATATGTCTTACTATCTCGTACTTTAAAATACTAATGTCACTGTGATGAACGTAGCTCAGAGCTTACAGAGAGCAAAAAGATTGAATTCGCTTTCAAAAAGGGAAGCATTCCCAGTGTACCTGAATGAAACAGCAAAGAAAGGGCCTGAAATTTGCCTGTAACAGTCTGCTGTTGCTATTTACACTAGAAAAAAAATAAGCTAATTGTTTATACAGAGTGACAGTAAGGCTAATTAAGTACTTCTTTTGCAGTAGAACTTGAACAGTACAAAAATGCACACTATAACAGAAGGAACACTGAGCAGAAAATAAGCTCACAGGTACAGCCAAGGAGAGCAAAAGCATTTGCCAATTGCTACTCTGGAGTTTCCACAGCTACCAGAAATTATTTTTTTTCTAATTAAGAGGAAATCTGATGTAACTTCATATACCATTGTGTAGTAACTGCTGGCAAACATTACAGATTTTATCTAAACCACTGGCATACTAACTGCTTGTACTTCAACATAAATTTCTCATTCAGCTTTCTCTTCTTAAACTTATTCCTACAAATTAAAAGCTAATGTGTAGACTAATAAAACACACTTGAACATGGCATTCATACTTCATATAAGAAAGCTTATGAATAGACACTAAATATATATTACCATGTCATGATTATTTTTTTTGAGTCTTTAAACCAGATCATTGAAAAGAAAAATGATGCAGTAACTTGGAATAGAACCTGAAAGATGTTTCAACACAGAGACAAATACATTTTCAAAGCTACTTAATGAATTCATGTTTCATAAAAGTCAGCTTCAGGTGAGGCCTCTTGCATGCCTCTTGCATGGCTAGCCTTCCAACTTCACAGATTTCCATGTAATAAAGCAAGGCAAAGCATAGTCACCTGCTTTGACTTCCCACATAAAACAAAATGCAGACCTCCATGAAATTCAGGCTTTTTAAAATTTAAGCGCATTTTTTAGAACAAGAACTAATCTTATAAAA